ATTCATTTTAAAAAAAAACTTCAACCATTTAAGGATATATAATCCTAAAAAAAGTTGCTTGCTCAAAACTCCGCTGCCTGTAACAGCATGCACATTTTAGGTGCCAGAACTGCAGTAAATCAAAATGTTCTTCTTTGAGTTTAGGTTAAAATTTACATGATCAAAGCAGGTTCTGTGTATATACCCTACTTATCAACACTATAAATCCTGTATACTCGGCCTGGCTCTCCTTCAAGTAGTAAGCAACTTGGCTGTCATATATTTTGTGCACTAGTAGCTGCCCCTGGCAGTCCTATGCCTGTTTATTTGAAAATAAATCCTACTACGTGCCATTTATTAGTGTGCTTCAGGATCACACGCTTTCACTTTAGCTAGGGTTGAAGATAAGGAATGTGTCCTCCGAAATTTATGGAACTGCCTCTCTACCAATGGGGATGGCCATGGAAACTAGGGCTGATGCACATATAGTGTGTTCCAGCAACATCTGGAGGACCACCCATAGTCCTCACTTCGGATCACTGCTCTGCCTCTGGATTTGGCCCAGACTGGAAATCAACTAACATACATCTGTGAAATTAAGCATGCCATAAAAGTCAGCCTGTTTTTCAGGTTTTAAGATAAGATAACCTCATGGCGATATAGTGTGCTATTTATTGTATTCTCTGTTATTTCCCTTCTGTGAGCAAGTACTGTACAGTCTTGGCTTTTAGCACCGGACATACTTTTGCCTATCATATACTTTTCTCTACTTTTGCTACATGGCACTAGATGACATTTAGTGAGGTTGGAGACAAATGAACATTTTGTTTGTATCTGTCTTCCTCTTCTGGATGTTCCCCAGGTATATTCAACGATGACCCCTGTCATCTTTCAGCATGATGGAATATTATCCAATTTACAGTGGTACCTTGACTTCCAAACGTCCCTAATTGCAAATGATTCGAGTTACGAATGGCTCCGTTCGCAAAAAGTTGCTTCGACCTGCGAATGGAGCCTCGACTTACAAACCAAAAGAAAAAGAAAAAAAACTCCTGCCCTTTTTTTAACCTAAGTTCACGTTAGGTCAAAAGAAGAAAAAATTTAAAAAAACTCCCCCTAGTGGTAGAGTACGAATTAACCGGCTTTGCATTAGTTCCTATGGGAACTAATGCCTCTACCTACGAACAGCACCTCAACATACAAATGAAAAACAGTAGATACGGATTAAATGGTTTTCAATGCATTCCTATGGAAATGTTTGCCCCAATTTATGAACTTTGCGATGTACGAATGCCATTCCAATACGGATTACGTTCGTACGTCAAGGTACCACTGTATCTGAAAGGTATTTAGGGTTCTTCCAAAGGCATTATTTGTTTTCCCCTTCCCCCATGATAGATGGTGATGTTCAGTGCCAAATGATTGTGAATCTTACCATCTTTCTGTCTATCTTCATTTCCAAAATTCTGACACTGAAAGCTACTGGCCTAAGAGTGAAGACCCATCAATTCAGTGGGATTTATTGGTGATTTACCATTTGTTTTGAGTCAGTGGATCAATCTATTCTTAGCTGAGACTAGTAATAGGTTACTGTGCCTTGTGTACACAGAAGCATTACCAATGTTTAGTTGGGCTTACTTATGAGTTTGCAGTGTAAGTAAGCCAAAATATATTATATAAGTCAAGTTCACAGCATCCATTAGGTAAGCAGCAGTATCAAATGTAGATGTATGTTTCTACATATATTTCTCTCTATATATATTTCCATAGTTAATATAAAAATAAAAAAATATCTAGATGGATTTGGTCAAGGCGTAATCCCTCCAGGAGTTTTAATTTAATAACAGCAGTGATTCATCTGCCTTGTCAGACTTTCCTGAAGAATGAAACAATAGGTTTTGGATCAATTAGCCCCAAGTACTGATAGAATAACTTCCATCAGTGGAATACGGAGGCGAGTTCCATTCCTCACTGCAGCCTCAAAATCTGCTCTGGGAGTTTGGGAAGTCAAGGGGATGGGAAAGGGGGGCGGGGACAAGGAGAGTCTTGTTATCCAAGGGGAAAGCTGTGTTTGCAGTGCTGGATGTTTGAATCTGCTAGGAGATGCTCTTGCATCACCTTGGCTGGTGTGCGTTCAATTCTTGTGAGCATCACATTTACTATATGCCTAACTATACGGTACCACAGCTATGAATATGGCAGCCTTCAAAGAAAGAACAGAAAGGTCCCTGATGCAATCTAAACACAGACACAAGCAAAACTATCTGGGAAGAGGAATGGAAGCAGGAGTAGGCAGGGTGTACTTTGGCACAGTGAAAACTGTAGTCCTTTGCCTCAGGCAGCAACATGACTTGTTGGAATGGTGAGTGCCTTGGCTCCTGCTAATTACAATCTTCAGGAGCCCAGCAAAGGAAAAAAAAAAGCATGAGAAAAGCACTGAGGGTGGGGAAGGCTGTCCAAGGAGTCTACAGACAGGTCACCCAGATTTGCCTGGGGCACCTGCTGGTGAAGGCTGAAGCCCTGTTGCACACGAGCAACTTATGTGTCTCTCTCTCTCTCAGTGTCTGTTTATTTGTTGCATTTATATGCTGTCTTTCTTCCAGTGTGGTCTATGATGGTGTTCCATACACCTACAGGGCCGTAGCCATGGTAGTCTGTGGTCAGTTGCAATAAAAACAGTAGAAAACTTTGTGATCTTAAAAAGTATACAATGAAGAGTTTTATTTGGCTTCAGTATTTTAGACTGCAGCCTACTACTTCAGATCCATAAGGGATTTTTCAAATGTTTTTTAGTTCATCCTTTCATGTTGGGAGTATCAGACTATAAGCTGTGTCACAGTGGCCTAATAAATCCATCAGATGGAAGTACTGCGACTTGCAGAAGGGAATACTGTAACTACAAGTTCCCCACATAGTCCACCCTTTTCTCATTAATTGGCACTTAGGGCCTCAATATCTCACTCTCAGTCATTTGTAGGAGAAAAAATTAAAAATGTTTAATTACAGTACTTACAGTTGTGAACAGATCAGTAGCAAACAAACAAGAAACAGACTAAAGAGAGCGAAAGAGAAACACTCGACAGAGATGTGGGACTCTTTGAATTCAGTGGTGGGATGGTATAATTGTTTAATGTTTTATAGATTGACAGTCACCCCAGCCCAGAAAAGTCCCTTGTAGTTATGCAGACTATAGGCAGCATGCAAGATTGTTGGTCTGAGAGGGTTTTTGAAATTGATTGTGGTGCTCTGTTGTTTTCAATGTGTTTTAGTATTGATTTTATTACCATTTTTAATATAATACTTGTTCTATTCTTTTAAAAATACAGTATTTGTAAACCTACTGTTTTCACCTTTAAAATATTGTCTTTTTAATTATGTAAGCTGCCTTGGATTTTTTTTTAAAAAAGAGAAAGGCTGGATAAAAATATTTTA